CTGAAGAAAATAAGTCATTGTCTTGGCTCAGTTTCTAGAGAAAGAAATTTAATATAACATCATTCAGTGAGATTTAGCTGTAGTTGTCTCAAAATATTAAACACTGAGAAAACAATTTAGTACACTTCAAATTTCAGGAGCAGGAAGCAAAAATGAATGTTACACAGACTTCACATTTTGTTGAGCTGAAGTAATTAAAAACTAAACAAAGTGGTAGGTGTCCTTACACTGTTCACAGTAAATCATCTTCTGCATCACATCCTAAAACTTCGATGTCATGTGTAATGTTTGGAATCGTTCTTTCGAAGGGTTCTGTTTCTGAAGGCACAGACCAGCTGTCATAACTTCTGACAGCAGATGCTGATGTATTACTCATGCTCCTCTTGATTCTTCCGAAGCTGTCTGTCAATATCCCTCTTCCATCTCTAATTCCAATGGTTTCTAAGAAACTCTCAAAGTAGCTTGTGTCTTTATCGGGTATGAAGGCCCGCATCCCTAAGTTAAGAATGAAATATAAATCGGTTAACTCAAATCTTTCCTTGAGGTAAGATACAAAAGGGATCATAGGACTGGGCTTAATTGAGGTTGATAGGGATCTTGCCGGCTGGATGAACTCAATGCAATAGTTTAGCCTCTCAGAATAGCTTCACAAACTTTAAACTATTGTTCTATTCTGTACAATAAGTAACCAAGCCTGTCTCTGACTGGTATTAATTGATCCATGCTGAATTTTGGTAACGTGAAGGAAATGGGACTTGATGGAGTATTTCTTTGGTTTTGTGATTTGACTCTGACTTACAATCTGTTTTTTGACACATATGCTGATAAAAGAATGTTCTTGTTCAAACTCTATTAATCATCCTGTTATCAAATTTGCTCAAAGTGAGCACCATGACCTGCAGCATATTTTCAGGTTCAATTTAGTACAATAGCTGTAGGAATCACAAAGCTTATTGCATTCCCTCCCCCACAAAAATCAAGAGAAAAAGGAAAAACTGAACAAAGACCACAATTCCATCATTCTGCCTAGCCAGTAGTTTTTTGTGATATGATCGATGTTAAACTACCTGTAAATATACAATTAAACCAGTCAGAAGGGCATTGTTTCAATTTGGAACACAGGAACAATCGTATAAACACAGCATCTATATTCACTCCTCCCGTTTTTTTAATATCAGACATGAACAGTGATATTTAATGCTCTCCCCATGGTGAGTTTGGATTTTTTTATTCAGATGGCAGGATGGCTGCTTTCTGCTGCCTTCTAATCTCCACCTCAATTAGCCTTAGTCTAGAAATGACAAATGGACTTTAGATCTGAAAGTTACTGAGTGGCCTATTTCCAAATGTGCCTTGGTTGTGAAGAATTTTACCTATTGGAGAGTGTGGGCAATTAGTTACATTGTGCTAAATTAAACAAATTAATTCTGTGTTATTGTAATTGAGAGAGTACTGTTGTTCTGTTTGCACCAGTCAGTTTGTACCTTTGACTGTGAAGAAGAAATGCATTAAATTATTTTATCAAATGTGCTTATGAAGAATTAAATGGGTTTGACTGATGCTATGCTTGATTCCTATTCGAAACTGAACAGTGGCTGGATCTTTGTTAACAGAATATGTTTAGGTAAGACAACCCATGTGACAATTAAGGTAACAGATATAAAATGTTAGAACTAAGGGCAATAGCCTCAAAATAACTGAGTTGAGGAAGAATTTCTTCACCCAAAAGGTTGTGAATCTGCAGAATTCTTTGCCCAATGAAGCAGTTGAGGCTACCTCATTGAATGTTTTTAAGGCAAGGATAGATAGACTTTTGAACTGTAAAGGAATTAAGGGTTATGGTGAGCGCTCAGAAAAGTGAAGCTGAGTCCATGGAAAGATCAGCCATGATCTTATTGAATGGTGGAGCAGGCTCGATTGGCCAGATAGCCGACTCCTGCTCCTATTTTTTATGCCCTTATGTTCTGTTCTTATGCAATATGTAAGCCTGAATTCCAATCACACAATGTGATATCACTAATTTATTTTGGCCTGAGTGTCCCCTTTTACTGCTGAATCGTCATTTTCAGTTTCTGTTCTACATATAAAATACATTTTAAAATGTATTTTTTCTGTCAGGAGATGCATCTTTCACGAGTCTAAAACAGTCTAAGATTGAATTCATCAGCTGTGATAGCACAATTTAATCTTATACCTAAAAGAAGGAACTTCCGTTTTTCTCCATAAAGGTGAAGAAGATCTGTACAATAATCTTCAATCGATGTACCAGTTCGATACTCATGGAGCAGCAAAGCAAAGTGCTGGATTTCTTGTGCTGTCAACTTTGTTCTCAGCTATTAAAAAAAACTCCAAAGATAAGCACAATAATCTCAGTGTGAAACAGTAAGACCCATCGCAAGGGTTTTGATGGCTTTTTTTTTAACTGTGATATTCGGTTCCTGTGCAGACATTGCTTAAATTGCCTTGAAAGTATCATTAACAAAAGTGTGAACATTTGATGGATGCAATATTTGAAGTATCATAACACAGCTCATAACTAATTCTCAGAAGTGGAGGTGCCGGTGTTGGACTGGGGTGGACAAGGTCAAAAATCACACAACATCAGGTTATAGTCGAATAGGTTTATTTGAAAACACAAGCTTTTGGAGCCTCACTCCTTTTTCAGGTGTCAATGAGAGAGGTAGTATCGGACACAGAATTTATAAGGAAAAGATTCATAAGCAAAAGATTAAAGATTTATCAGCCATCTTAGGTTTGTTGAACATTGCATCGGCTCTATGATCCTTTGATCTTTTGCTTATATGTTCAGTGTCCGATGCTACCTCTCTCACTAACACCTGAAGAAGGAGTGAGGCTTTGAAAGCTTGCGTCTTCAAATAAACCTGTTGGACTCTAACCTGGTGTCATGTGATTTTTGAACTAATTCTCAGAAGGATTGATAAATCCCTCCAGCAATGCCAGTTCTCAAAGAAATATGTGTCTTTGTTTAAAAAAATGGATCCTCGGTATCTCAAAAATGCATTTCATAATTTTGACAGACAAAATTTTTTGTTCTGGCCAGAAGTCTTGACCGACAAATGAAAACTATAAACATGGATACAAACATTTAACAGTATTAATCTTCTCAAAGGAGAAAGGAAGCACAGAGAAGGCAATTAAAAGACAGTGGAGGTCTGTTTTACATGTATGTAAAGGAAAATCTATTAATATTGCTTCTATTTAAAGCTTTTGAGAAGATTTGTAGCTCAGGTTGTGGATGAGACCCGGTGTGTTTGATTGCAGACATTTTGTCACCCTGCTAGGTAACATCGTCAGTGCGCCTCTGGTGAAGCGTTGGTGTTCTGTCCCACTTGTTATTTATTTGCCTTGGTTTGCTGGGATGGTTGGTATCACTTCTGGTTCTGTTTTTCAGTGATTTGTATATCAGGTCCAGTTCAATGTGTTTGTCGATGGAGTTCCCTCTGGGACAGCACATCCACAATAGCCCAAACCAAACAGAGACTTGCCAGGAAATTCTTAGAGGCCTGGCATTCCAACCAGAACTCCATCAACAAACACATTGAAGTGGGCCCGATATACAAACCACTTCCACAGAACTGGAAGTGATGCCAACCACCCCAGCAAACCGAGCATATAAATAACAAGTGGGACAGAACACCAACGCTTCACTGGAGGTGCACTGATGATGTTGCTTAGCAGGGTGACGAAACATCTGCAATCAAACACACCGGCTTGGCAAGCAAGGTTGTTTTCTATCCATTTTTGGGATGTGGGCATTGCTGGCTAGCCAGCATTTCTTTCCCATTCCTAGTTGCCTTTGAGAAAGTGGTGGTGAGCTGCCTTCTTGAACCGCTGCAGTCCACCAGCTGAAGGTTGACCCCACAATGCCATTAGGGAGGGAATTCCAGGATTTTGACCCAGCAACAGTGAAGGAATGGCAATATATTTCCAAGTCAGGATGGTGAGTGGCTTGGAGGGGAACTTGCAGGTGGTGGTGTTCCCATATGTCTGCTGCCCTTGTCCTTCCAGATGGAAGTGGTCATAGGTTTGGAAGGTGCTATCTGAGTCTTTGGTGATTTTCTGCAGTGCATCTTGTAGATAGTACACACTGCTGCTGCTGATCGTCGGTGGTGGAGGGAGTGGATGCTTGTGGATGGAAGTCCACATCTTCATTGCCTCTATTGATGAGCTCAAATCACCCGTATTGTTGGGTGTGGAACAATATCTGTGGTTGTACTCAAGAAGGTTTGTCCAGTCAGTGACGTGGATCTCTGTCCATGTGTTGAGAACAAGGTAAGTTTTTATGTTTTTATTCCCTCTGCCAAGTAATAATGCCTGTTGATCAGCCCCACCCACATCATCCACTGCTGGGACTTGCTGGCTAGAGCACATATTAGTTCTATGAAATTCTCCCATGCATTAATGCTGTGACCCAAAGATGCTTTTCTCAATAGATTGTGCTTTTGGGGTCAATTTTACTGAGGAATCGAACCTTCCACCTTCTCGTCATGATTATTGGTATTTTCTCTCAGTGCATTTTCAATGTAAACTGAAGAAATTTTATCTAGAGCTAATCCATGGATCACTTGAGTGAAAGATATATAGTTGTCTAGTTCAAGGCCAGCCCTGTGAAATGCTGCTATAATTCTGAAGAGCATTTCGTTGTCTCCAGACTGTATTGATATTCTTTTTGGCAGAAAAAGTATTATTTTTATAAACAACTCCATTAGAATGGTTTTGTCATACTCGACTGACACTGGTATAAATTTACTTCATAGCATGCTCACAGTAAGTAGTACATCAGTTACAGAAGAGGCCTTTGAGGTTTCAAAAGCTCATCTGTGCAATAAAATGTCTGTATAACAAATGGTATTGCATTTATACTGTATTATTTATAATATAAGAGCAATAGTGGTATATATGTCCCCATTTTATCCTTTAAAAAATTTGGTTTGCTTCATACTCCCTTACTGCCACAGAATCTTGATACAACAAAGGACTTTGTTATAGTATTCAGATAGTGGATTTGTGATTTGTATTAGGACAGCAAACTCCAGTAGTGAAAACAGATTAGAAAATATTTTAGGTTTGCAAAGGGAGAATAAGGAGAGCAAATCTCAATCATGGAAAAGAGTCTGCATAGTAAATCAGAAGTGAGCAACAACTATAAGCTAAGTATTTATTATAACATTGCCATAATTAATATTACTTCATCCTGAAGTTGTTGACTTCTCACTGGTGCACAGTTCTAGAAGCACTAGACATCTTCCACTTCCTCACTCACCGGCCACTATTGAAATGTGGCCCTAGATAATGATGGCTGGCAAGGTTGTTCAGCTGTACTGGACACCAGAGCTCTGGGCAATCTTGTCCTTACCACATGTCCTTGCTAGGTCACTTGCAACTGCAAACAGCAATGGGAACACCCTGGTCAGTTTTCCCCTCCCTGACTCAGGGATGCCTGAGCCTATTTTAAAACGTAATCTATTCATACAGGTGTTTTCCTCCCACTTGAGTAGTATTCCCTAATGCCAATTGCCTATAGTGTTCCTGTATGCTGTTACCTTCATTCAGTGATTGAAAATATCCTTAATTTTTGACACAATCACAAATACTACTTCAGAAATCCACAATTTCACCGGCCTCAGTATGACAAGATTTCTCCAATTCTTTGCCTTGAATTTGTTACGGTGCATCTACGTTCTTCTTTTGACTTTGATTTCCTGTTTTACTGACTGCTGCAGGAAAACTAATCTTGCGGTAGGTGCCTCAAATAATCATTACACCTTTCATTAAGATTTGTAAATGATCTGATGCCTACTTGAGGTGTGTGCACTTTGCCCCAATGTTTTGTTCTTTATCAATAGAGCAGGCAACATTTGTTTGGTTTGTAATGAATATATGTTTCTCATACTGGAATTTTAGGAAGCTATTCAACATCTGAAAAATGGTGCTGGATTTCTGAGCTACGCACTCAATGAAAACATACACAAGTCAAACAAAAGTCATCTTGTCGTCTTGCATTATAAATTTGTCACTACAATCAATTTGTTTAGTCCATATCTTAATTGCTAAAGTTGTCAAAAACAATCTAAGGTGTGTGTTTTGTGGAGTAAATCTAATGAAGCTAACAAGTACGAAAGAAATAGCTGTAAAATATTTTGTGAAGAAAGTATTGTTTCATAGGGTTGACTGAGGAAATAAAAAAGTAGATTTTTAATTTGTCACCTAACAGTAAAACTAACATTGTGAACCACTATTCATAGAAGCCATTTAATTGAGTAAATGCAAATCAGGCTGCTACAATGAATTTTATACCCATATGCTTAATGAATATTCATCATTGAAGTTCCCCTCCCAGCCACACACCATCTTGAATTGGAACAATGTCACTGGTGGCTCAAAATGCTGGAACTGCCTGCCCAGCAGCACCATATGCATACCTACATCACATAGACTGCAATGATTTAAGAAGGTTGTTCATTGTCACCTCCCCAAGGCAATTGGGGATGGACAATATTTTCTGGCCTAGCCAGCAATGCCCATATCCCTGACTGTATACGTAGAATTAAAAAAAATCAACCTTAACGGTCTATTCAGCTCAAATATAAGGGACTAAATAAAGGAGTGGATGGGAGAGAGAGAAAAACATTTCTCCTTTCTGCATTTGTAGCTTCTTATATTCAGTAATTTATCTTGAAGTACATATGAAGTGCTTTCATTTTTAAGAAAGGGGGATTTCATTTGCACAGAAGAATGTTGTGAGGGCTGAGCAAGCAGCCTAGAGTGGTGTCTGCTCTCAGGAAATGGATCTAAGTCTGTGAACTGATGCTTTGTGAACAAATTTTCTTCCCTACTGAATTTGTCCACATTACAGCTATGCATCAATTTTGGGAAGATTCACGCCGAATTTCTCTCTGTGAGCCATTGTGTCTTTTCTCATGTAATTTTCTGCTGTTCATCTCATTAAGTATGTATCCGGTCTCAATGGCACCATTTCGCACAATCTTGCACTCAGCACAGGTAGAGGTGTTTGCCTTTACTGGGACCTTCTGACATTCTAGCTGCAACAGTCCTATTTAAACCCCAGATGCACACCAGTTCAAACATTGCAGGCCAGTAACTGCCTCACCACATTGCTGTACATTTGGAAAGAAGATGGCAAACTGGCACTCTGCTTTGTCAACAGGGACTGGAGATCCTGATGAATGGATTAGTGAAGAAAAGGCTGTACTGTTTTCCCAGGACCAACAAATCCTGCCAACCTGGTCTCAAGTAGTCACTTGAGTCATTACATTGTCGATGGTCTGGAGGAATGTGCAGCAATGCCACAAGAATGTTAATGACTTTCTGCGCTCTGCAAGGGTAGGTACCATTTTCTCTCTGGCACTAACTCCACTACTGCACCCACTTCCCACAATATTGTAATATCTTCTCTCAGTGGGTCTCACCCAGCCCATCTTCCCACTATTAGGTACTGTTATTAATCACTTTCCTTCCCTCTACACTTCCTATTCACTCAACTTGGGATACCTCGCCATTTTTCATCCAGCCACATCAGCTACTTTCATCTCACTCAATCCCTTCCGTTGTCTCATTAAAGGAGAAAACAGCTCATGATAGGTCTGAGAGGGTCAAGAGGGATGGTGGGGTGGATGACATTTGTCTCCTCATGCCCCTATGAGGAGACTGTCATTGAATTATTGAGACAGGATCACAACCACTCGTGATGTTGAGACTTCCATATTCTAGCAGTCAGTAAGATTCATTGTGGTGTGTTGTGCTGCTCCCTCATTACCACCACTGTTAATGTATTCATGCAATGCTGAAGCTTCCCCCATGCCCCCATCACTCATTCCCTCTTATGTCTTCTGCAGGTACCAGTGGCACTCAGCTCCATCCCACAAGAGACCAGCCCCTCCAGTTATCAGCTCCTCTCCTATTGTTGAGGGAGAAGCCTCAGATCCTTCAGAGGAAGCACTGGCAAGGCTGCCTCCTATACTCTCCACCAGCTCAAATACTGACACTTCAGTGACTAGATTAGAGTCAGGACACCGTTGGAGACCAGGCATCTGCTCAGCCCCAGGTAAAGCTATCAGCCATTAGTAACTTGCAGAAGCAGATGCAGGAACAGCAGGCATTGTTTGGAGACAGTTGGGAAATTGGATAGAAGATTTGAGTCCACCAGGGATCTCTATACCATGCTGGCTCTGGCAATGCATGCACCTGGCTGTCTTCATGGACAGTTTGGTAGTTGCCATTTAAAGCCAGCAGAGTGCACAGTGGCTCTAGAGATGTAAAGAGACTTGCACTCCATTACTTTAATCATTGGTGCTCAATATAAACAATGAGGTGATAATGGGACAAGAGACCTTGACCTCACTCCAGCTCCACTTCCTCTCAGTGAATTAGGGTGGTGCAATCAGATACCGAGACAGAGCAGGAACCATGTGCAGTCCCTCAGACATTTCCTGTCAGGATACTACAATGGTGCCTGGCCCCTCCCCCTCCACCCTGCCTATGACCCCATAACCCTGTGGAGTTTTGAAACATCAAAATCTCACATTCACTAACTGACTCAAAATTTGATGGTGGTTGTACTAACACACTTACTTCAGTGAGATAAGCACTTTGGAACATCAAAATCTCACACTCATTTTCAGTCATTTGGTGAATGTGAGATTTTGATGTTCCAAAGTGCTTATCTCACTGAAAGAAGCGTTTTAGTCAAACCAGGAGGTTCAGTCTGCATTTGGATAACACACTCTTAATATGTCCGGCCCCTCTCATTGTGAACAACCCCAGGCACGTCCATCCAAACTGTTATGTGTGTAGTTGGATGTGTGCTGACCCTTTAAGAGAGTGGGTCTGGTGACCAGGAGGCGGGCAGTCTAAAAACTGACTGGAGACGAGAGACCTACAATAAAGTATTCCCAGTTCAAGTTTACTGTCTGTCTGCCTTGGGTTCTATTTATGGTTCTAGTGAGATACAAACGTACAGTGTGTGTTCTAAGGCAGATTCCTTGTCCCCACTCACCACCACCTCCAGCTGGGGACTTGGGGATTACACTTACATGTAATGAGAAGGCATGGATAAAGAAATCCTTCTAAACGCACATAGGTGGCATGGGTGATAGTTTATTGTACAGAAAATATTACATTTTGTAAATATACTGCACTTTTAATCATCTCCTGTCTGACTGACTGTCATTTCAACTGTAGCTAGAACTTCCTTAGTGCCATTCAACATTATAACCTCATTCACAGAAGTGCTACTCTTTTCCTAACGCCCAGATTGACATACCATGTTGTTATTGTTGAACATGTGCCATCAGATGTTGTGAAGCCCTCTGACAGTTGTTAATATTAAACTTTATCAAACAATGGAAAAAGTGAAATAAGAACAGTATTGCAATGCCAAAGTCCATGGGCACCAAAGTGCAGTGTTGAAGTGCATGATGATGTAGTGACACAATGGCTCAGTGGTTAGCATAGCTGCCTCACAGTGCCAGGGACCCCGGTTTGATTCCACCCTTAAATGACTGTCTATGTGAGATTTGCATATTCTCCCTGTGACTACGTGGGTTTCCTTCCACAGTCCAAAGATGCCCAGGCTAGGTGGATTGGCCATGGTAAATTACCCCATAGTGTTCAGGGATGTGTAGATTAGGTGGGTTATAGGGGAATGGGTCTGGGTGGGATGTTCTGAGGGTCAGTGTGGACATGTTGGGCCGAAGGGCCTATTTCCACACTGTAGGGATTCTAAATCTTTCAAATTTGCTGCTTTGCTGATGCCAGCTCCTAGGGATGGTAGGTGTGGGCTATTGCTACGCATGGAATCTACCTTGAAATGTTGGAAATACTGGCAACATGGAGCCCTGGAGAAGATACCCAATGAGATGTTACTGTTCTGACTTTCATGTTGGGAATTGGCACTATTTATTTTCTCAAGGTACCTGGGGGAACAGCCACTGCATATAACTGAGGTGAAATCAGGTAATAATGAGATGCCAATGTATGCAAATAGGCCCTTGCTGCTCACTGGCTGTTGAATCCTTAAGGGAAAATCAAACTTTTCTTTCTTGATGCCGATAATCTCAATTTCCCAGTCTCACTGTATTCTTTAACTTTCTTGCCAATGCCCTTGCCAGTTAGATGCTGCGCAAATGTCACCTATGGACTTGTTGGAGTATGTGCACAGAATGGTTTCAAGTAGTTTTATGTCCACATGGTGAATTTCAATATCACTGCTGCATTTGGAAAACTCCAAATATTGTTTCTTAACATGGAAGAAAATGAAACCTCCTTATTGTACTAGTTGCTGGTTACAAGAATAATCATTCACAGGGCTCTGGCAGACCTTCAGATGGTACGTAGTGCAATAGCTACGTGGTTTAAAGAGAAAATAATATCAGCAAGTATAGTTGTATGGAATTAATTTGTTGGCTCCACGGATGAGTGTGCAATTAATACCAAAAGGATCTGCATTAATGAATGGTCTTTGCTCACTTGGACAACCTCAATGGCACTGGTGATGCAGATCAACTTTTGACCTCAGGGACTGGAAGGGATAAAACTGCCAAGATTCCTGATCGTGCTTACAATTCAACATTTCTTTTTGATACTGTGTGGGCGTAGAAACTTTGGATTGAAACAGGGTTAGATTCAACTGTGATGACACCTGCTGCTGAGTAAATCTGCCAATACTCATTAGCCAATGAAAAGTATGAAGACTTACATCTTAAAGATTATTACCACCAGGGATCCGTTTCAAAGTAGGAGGAGCGTGGGCACTGTAGAAAAGCTGTCATTAACCAATTCAAAAACCTTGCTTTGGAAGTGATGGTTACATATCTGAGTAATCTCTATGGTATAGATACAGTAAATAAAAGAATTAGAATAAGGTGAGAAAGAGAGGGGGTAACATTTCTACACTTCACTCTGTATAAATGGATATTGTCACTTTAGATGAATACAGATAGCAATGTCTCATTTACGGTGCACAAAATATTTACTTACGGTTGTCATATAATCCTGTAGCAGATCATCTCCAGTACTACTGTGGTCACTCTCACTGCCAGCTGTGCCTTGGCTGAATTGTGATTCTCTGAATGAAGGGGAAGAGCTACCATTGCAGTAAGGTTCGTATATGTCCTGTGATCCATCACTGTGCTCAGAAAGAAAAGGTGAAACTGTAAGTAATGTAGTTTAAAATAGAAATGCTCTATACCTATTATTCAAAACACGCTTCCAGAATCAGGAATACTTACAAAGAGCTGCAGCAGCTAAAATCTGCTTCATAGCCGTAAGTCTGAGCAGTTTGGTTGCTGTCACCTAAAGAATCAGTGAAAAGGGGTCTGGTTAGCAAAATAGAACATTTAGAGTTACAGTGCTAGGAAAATCAGTTTCACGTTATCAGTGAATTTTATAAGTAGTCAAATATATATTTCAGATATTGACACTTAAAACAAAAGAAATTTTTGTTTTTAAATCTTGACTTTTTCTATTTCATGGTATTCCCGTTTAATGAGAAAGAACCAAGCACAGTTGGGTATTTTTCTTTAGCATTTTAGTCTTATCCCTTAGCTCTATTCATAATCATTTGCTTCTTAACTGACATGAATCACATAGTTGTGTAGATGAGACAGTTTACTGGTTTATGTAGTTTCCTAAGGCTTTTCATAGCAATACATCTCCAACAAAGGAACAGCCAATCTGAAAGGAACATCAATAATTCTCTTCAAGAAACAGGTCATCCATTATGAAACTAAGCAAACCCACCCTACAGCCCAGATACAGAATTGACAAATCACAAACAGAGCAACCATGGGTTTCAGTAACCTATGTCCCAAACCATGACTTTTATATAAGTAGCTCCTCTTCATCCCTCTGCCTAGTCCAATAAACAATGCTGAGACTATTTTTCTCTAAATCACTATTTTAGCGTTCTTTGAACAATAAAATTCCTGCATCTTTACTTGTATATCACAGTAAAATGCAAGATTGAAGTCACAGTGCTATTTTACCAGCAAAACACTTTAGGAAGGTGTACTTGTATTTCTCAGTACAATTTGCTTATATTTCCCCAACAACTTCCATAAAACTTACATTCAAAAAATTTACAACACATTAGTTAATATCTCCGGGAGATGGATATACTAGAACTGGAGACTATAGCAGAAACCATCCAAAGATAACATCGCAATTATTTGCAGTTTATAATTTAATATTTGTGCAACTTACTTATGTATGTCTGCCAGAAATCACACCATGAGAATAAAATACCCTTTTACATGCGCGTTGTAATCAGAAGCAATAGATTGTGATAATAACACCTGAAGTTTTCCTTCGATCATGTGGCTGACCAGCAATCTTTCCCATTCTTACTGCACACCATTGGTGTGTGTTGGAAATATTTGTAGATTGATACTCAACTTGTTTGGCCATGATACAAGCAGGCCTTCCTTATTCATCAAAATCCTGGGGTGAGAATGAAATCCAGAGCTTCTGACTCTGAGGCAGGGAAGCTAATCACTACACTATAATATCTTCTATAACTCATTGATAGTCATTTTGCTAATAAATTTCAATGACACATGCAACATTTCATACTTTGGTATTGCTGGTGGACCAACATAACGAAGATTTATATTGTCTACAGTGTTAATTAGAGACTGGCCATATAACTTAGAGCTGTACTAGAACACAAACATATGTATGGTCTAATTCTTTCCTGTGAAACAAGTAACCTGCCAGCCAAGTCCACATTTATCATTCGGACAGGAAGCATCAATTTTCAAATTTAAATACTTGCATCACTTTTTAAAGAAGGGAATTATCACATTTGTAATGCAACAAAACTAGCTTGAGACCAATTCAGCTGCTTCTGTGGGATTGTACAACTATATTCTGGATAAGTTTGCAATTGTAGTTAGAGTATTGTGGGGGAGGGGTCACAGGGGACATACCTTTCACCCCCAAAATCATCGATGCAGTCATGTTATATTGTGTTTATACTATTCTAATAAGTCCACATAATCTGTTTTTGTGATATTGATTGAGGAATAAATCATTTGTTGTTCTTCAAAACACACATAAACACACACACTCACAAAAAATAGAGAGATATCAAACAGTTTCATGGGTCTCAAAGGTGTTGTATAAAGCAGTTAGTATCCCAAAGGGTAAACTGACATTATGAGATAGGCTGTCTGGATATAAAGAACTGTATAAGGCTTTTGAGGTGCAGCAGCAGTGTCCCTATCTCTAGGCCAGGTGGTCTGTGCTCAAGTCTCATCTGCTCCAAAGATGTGTAACAACATCCCTGAACGGGCTGAGTAACAAATATCTGCAAAGAACTATTCCTGGGAGGAGTTAACCAGTTCTTTGTTTGCTACCAATGCTGTGAGAATGTTGCAGTAATAGCAACATGAACTCTTAGGTTTAGCCTGATGTCTCCCAAGAGAACATCATGCAGCTTAGATGCCATATTAATAACTATTAATAAATATGGAAACAAGACTCAAATTAAAATAAAGTGCTGCATAAGCTGGAAATCTGAAATAAATACAGAAAATGCTGGGGAAATGCAGCAGGTCTAGCAGTGATTGTGGAGAGAGCAACAGAGTTATGTTTCAAGTCTAATGATTCTTCTTTAGAAGTCCCCTTACACTAATGTCAGCTAGAAGGATTGATAGCAATGAAACTGGCCAAAGCTTCTCAGTTCCACTGTTATAACAGTGTTTCAAATATTTATCTTTATGTGATGCCTTCAAACAAATGATTTAAAACAAAGAAAGCAAGGACTTTAATTGGGGTAGAAATGTGCAACTACAAATGAAAAGATAATCAGGCAAGATGAAGAACATGTTGCCAATTCTCCAGTGTTTGCTATTGCACATGACCCATTTTATGCCTAAATAATGTCTTTAAGGACCTGAGGATATTACAAGGTACTTTACAATCAAATGAGTGCTTTTAAAGCATAGTGCAATTCATGTTTGATTGCCCATCCCAATTTCTCCATTATGGATACAGCTCAAATAACACAAAAAATAGTTTTTTTACACAAATACCCTCATTACATTTTTTAGAGCTCAGGTCAGGGCCCTCAGGTTAGCTTGGGCATTAGTAAGACTTGGTCAGAGTTAGGGTAAGAGTTAAGGTTAGGTTGGTGTGTGCTCTAGTTCTCTGCATTCCAAAATCATGAACACCGGAATTACTAGACATGTACAGTTGGTGCTGTCACAAACTATCTTTGCTACCCTGACTTTTTGTTGTGTGCTTGTGTATGTGTATGTCTGTGTGTGTGCATGTAATTGGAAAGGAGCATTTCAGCTGTGTAAGCCATAGCCGAGGACTGTTCAAGTAGGCTGCGTTATTGTTAAAAAATGGTTTAAAGAATTTAGACGTGAAAAGTTATTTTAGATATGTGTACATTTCTGCAAGCATTGCATAAATTGTCTTGGTGGCAATATTGTTGATGTCAGGATTATTCACAGATGCTGCTGTCAACAACACTGAATAAACATAGCTGATACAAGCAATTGATAACAATATTACTGCTTTCGATCGAAAACATACTTCTCTCCATTAACCAACGTCTGTCTGGTGTGGAAGTATAATGGAGTCCTGTTCGATCCACACAGTCTATTGTCTGATCTCCATAAATGATACGAAAAACCTGACAGATGAGAGCACAATATTCTTCGGCTGAATCCTAGTTCCAAAACAAACGAGATTATTCATCTTATCATGCTTCTGTTAAAATTGCTGTCAAAACTTTTCATTGTTAGGACAATAAAAACAGCTCACTCTGCTGTCCACTGCAAGTATCACCAGGTTGCAGTGTGTTTCCGAATTGGGCACAGCTTCCGGGGGATCAGGCAAGCTTCCTGTTGTTTGTCTACGCTCCAAACTGCCGCCAGCAGCTACAGCAGCCACTCCAAGCCCTAATGTGAAATAAATAGGTCTAATATTCATTTAAATTCATACAAATAATAGGCATTCATATAATAAAGCTTAATTTGAAGGGTGATCACAAAAGAGAATCTGGTGAATGAAACGAAGAGCATTAAAAGCAATGTGTTCATTGGGTAAGACAAAAGCATTAATATGCGTATGTACTGTACAGTGCCACATCAGGGAAATATGACAGTGTCATCACTATTGGAGAAAAATCCAAGTAATTTATTCATGTCATCTTGAACTTGACATCTGTTACGTCCATGTAACATTTGCAGTCTTTTTTTTCCAATATCTTACACCTACAGGAATGTTTAAAGCCAGTTTCAGCAAGTTTACTTTGCCCTGACATCAGGCATGAAGGTGCAGATTGAAGAAAACACAATCAGATGATGAGATTTGAATTGGAAACATTATGCAGTGTGTGATTTGAACTGAAATGGTGTTGAGTTTTATTAAATGTCATGTTACGTGCGCAGCAGCCTGCTTCATACACGTACTAATATAAAGTTTATTGAATTACATTCTGAATAAAGCACATAAATTAACTGCAGACATGGGTTAATTGTCTGGACCATATTGATTGCCAGCATATTTACATTTACAGAACACAAATTGGATGTTTGACTCGTGACTTTACAGGTAAGTGATTATTTAAACTATTTTTTGTCCAATGAGCAAATTTTTAAAGTGAGGTAAATTTTGAATATTTTTGGTGCTGTAAACATTCAATAGATACAAGTATTTTAGAAAGGTAATAATGATCAAAGTGAAGGAAGAATGAAACACTGTTCATTACAATGATCCATTCACAGTTAGACGTTAGATTTATATTACCAGGTATGAAATTTCCAGCATTCGCAGTACTTTGGTTTTTCTTTTGAGGATATAGTCTATTCCAATATTGTCTCAGTTGCAACTTCAGAAGAGAACACAGGAGCATAGATTTTTCTGGGGTCATAAAGGTGGCGTATTTTATCTAAAATTATGCAGATGCCCAATTCTAGAAGTCCGGCACCCATTTCCAACATTTCCAAATTTTGTCAGTGGGGGAATAGGACAGGACATGATTTACACAGGAGAGAAATCTGAACCGGGCTGAATTCAAACAGACACCATTTTTGGAGGAGTTTCTTGTCGCACCATATGTGACGGTATTTTTTAGAGTAGATGTAAATGGCCATAAAAGGCATTTCCCGGAACAAGCATCTTCAAGCACTCTGAATGGTATTGCCAATTAGTAAAAAATAATGGTCAATTTTGTACTGCAGAATTTCCAAACATCATTTCACATAACACTCTTGCAGTACAAAAATGGAAGAGTCTTTTCTCCCATGAATCTTGACTCAAATCCTGCAGGCCATTGTCTAACCCAATACACCTCCCAATGTTTGAGATGAAATAATGCTTTGGACATTGCATTATCACTCACTTGCAAAAATGCTTTTTACTGAGTCTCAGAATTCTGAAATTTTATTAACCTGCTTAAGACATAAGTGACAATATCTTACAGGATTACTTCTGAACTGGTACCACGTGTAATGCCAATCATTGGAAATCTGTTGATAACTTGCCCTGAATGTTTTGAAGTAAATGAATATACCTGTTTTCAGAATGAGTAGATGTATAGCATCATCCCTGACATAGGATACAGCAGCAATCTCATGGGTTGGAATTCTCAGGATCAACTCTTCATTGTCCCTCCAGGTCAAGAGGAGGCAGCGTGCAGACAAACTCAGAATGGTGTCCTGCTCTGCAGTCGTTTGCAAAGGCAGTTGTTTCTGTTGCTGTCAAAGGTAGGATTCTGCATATTTCAATTATTCTTAATTAATTACTTCCTTTTTTTAAAAACCTCTTATTTCATGTGACATCTGTTTAACAACTAAACTCCTTGAGTTTATAAAAGGACCGAGTTATCTTAATCAAATTGCTTTCAAGTGGGGAATAAAAACAATTTCTATAAATTATAATATTAGCATTCTGAAATATTAATTGAGTTTTGAACTGGTGAAACAAATCATTTTCCTTTGATAAATAATTCATCAAAAGATCAATGACCTGGAAGGAGCTCTTTTTTCAAAGAAAAATTTATATAAAAAATTGCTTTACATGAATAATTCTGACTATATAGTTTTTTTCCCGAAATCTAATGATTCAACCATGAACTGGAAAAATCTAGCTTTCCTTAAATGGTAATATCACAATGAAGCAATGTCATGTTATGAATTTTTCACTAAGCTGCAATTTAATATTTAATTCAGGTTAAAATATGAAAATGAAAGATAATAATGTGCTGTATTCAAATCCTTAAGCACTTTATTTGTCTAGCTTTAGGACCTGAGCACTCAATGATTTGAGCACATAATTTAGGCTAATACCTCACTTCAGTACTGAGAGTGTACTTCTTTGTCTGAAGCCTTGAGCAATATTTAACAACTGCTCCCCAGCAGTATCTGGGAGGTGAGGCCATAGAAAAGGAGGGAAGATAGGGGATAGATTGCCTGTCACCTTCCTGTCTCCTCCTGATTAAGTCAAGGTCAGGGAAAGCTAACTTGGGCCTTTTCACCCAGTGGTAAATTGAGACCTCTAAGTGACTGATTAATGGCCACTTAAGTCGTCCATCCCTCACTGCTGGTATTCAGCAGGGAGGGGCTATACTCCACATGAGAAAACCATCTGATAATGACTGTAGACTCCCTACGGGCTCAGGACTCTGATTGGCACCTTGTATCATCCTCTGTTGGCAATGGCCTCTGCCTGTTGAAAGAGAACCTCCCCTTCCACAATGACTTTCCACCCCAGCTTACTGGAACCTATCTGAGTGGCCTCAACAAGTAACTTATCTGCACTCCTGGACTACCTCCATGTTGCTGTTCTTGAGTATGCTAAAGTACTAGCAGTGACTGCCTTAAATTGTGGCCTACTGGGGTTAAAGAGACCCTGACTGGCTGGCATCTCTCTAGAACCAGGAACTCTACCCTGAAAACCAAGGGGCAGGCAAACTACCTGATTAAACTTTGAATCCCATTGCGTTTTCCAAAAATGGCAATGTACAATTGCCCCCAGTTTTCTGACTAGTGGAGTGGCCCACTGTAATGGCCTTTAATTCAGTGCTATGTCCGATGGATGAGATGCAAAGGTAAGATTCTATCTTACATAAAAACTCCATGAAGAATAGATTCGGAGGCCTCCCAGCATGCCAGACAATATTTATCCCTCAATTTACATAATGAGAACAGATTGTCCAACTTGTTAAACAGACTTGATTGCAAATACTGATATTTTTCAGCTATTTATGAGCTGTTCACAATATTCTGTAGTATTTGTCCCTTACCCTTGCTGTATCCAAAAGCTGTAGCACTTCTGCTCTACTTGCTGGATTTAAAGAACATGAAACCCATGTCAAGTGACCTAAAAACTAAAGAAAAGAAATAGCAGCTTAAAGAAGGAAGCCGGTAAATTTGATTGTATAAAATTACTGGATTCTTTAACTAGTCAGCCAAGATGTCTGTAGTCTATGGGAACTGGTTCATGCAATATTTGACCATAGCTCTTTTACTATTGTATCTTCAAATCCAGATTAGTTTAATCGGATTAACTTAATCCCTACCTGCTGTAAATTTTCTTAAGAGTCCTAAATGGAATTATATGGCTCGGTGTCAGACCAATTTACACCTTTGCAATTGAAAGGTGAGAAAACAAAACAAAATATTGTTCACATAATGTTAGTTTCATTCAGAGGTTGGTGTGTAGATTGTAACAAATTCATAAGGTCTGTATGAAACTATCAAGATTGCTCTTGGTAGTAATCATTAACATTTAAAGGTTTAGAAGGTTACATAATCTTGTTCATGAAATTCTAATGAAAACTAAATTTTAGTTTAATCAAATATAAAGAAGGGAATGAATAAATTTATTTGAAAAGGAAAGTAATATGGGTGAGTTTACATGGCACAAGTTTAGAGAAGCCACTAAAAATCAATGTGAAAGTTGAATTATAAACTAGCTGCTGGGCCTGAAATGATTCTGAAGCTTTGTTTCTGTGTCAAATTGGGCCTTGATTGTAGATTCAGGCAATAATTACATTGTAACTGCAACACTGGTGCAAAACCAGATTATTCCTCTCAACCAATGGCATGGGAATGAGCCAAAAGACACAAGCAATTGGAATTATTCTTTATGTGATTTTAAACTAGTGAAGAGAAAATCAACAATATTTCAAACAATTCTGACCTATTATGCCTCCAACTGGTACATACTCCTTCCTTCATCCCTTGTTTTAAATTTACCTATGCATAATCTATCTACTATTTTGATATTTTACCTATATCTTTAGTCAGTTCTCTGCTGAAATTTCCTCTCTTTTTCTCTAAAGCTTCAAATGTGCTGCCATATAAGTTTACCTTCCCTGCATTGTGCACTAATTTGTTTTTTTTCAGGAACTCCAAACTGGAACTCTCTTAATTTCACCCTAACCTTGGTATTTCACTTTGGTGTCTTAATAACAATCAAGCATCTAGATTTGAATATACTGTTGGCAAAGATGAACTTGCAATCACTGGTAGGGTTCAAGATATGTGTAGAATATAGAATTATCTGTTATTTTTTTCGCCTTTATCTGATTTGGGAAAATTGTGTTGCTTGATGTGATCTCTATCTGCCACACAGATAAGAAAGATTATTGATCACATTCAAAGGGAAATGGTTATGAGTACAGATTTAGATTATATTGTAACCAGAGATTTTATCATAACTTCAAAGATTTATATGACAGCATGATTAAATCTGGAACGTTATAAACCCGGAGGTGAATGTAATAATGTACCTTGGAGGCCCAAGCAATGATATATCTTCTGAAATTGATGCGATTGTAATCATCATATGAGTCTGAAAATCAGAGTGTTAGTTCAGTGGTGTTGCAATCTCTTAGAGTGGAATTTTCTGTGGGGTGTTTAAGTGGAATTTTCCTTGGGTCTAAGTTACAAGCAGAAATACACCCATTGTGCTCAGATCTATTAGCATCCATATTTCCTGCCAATCTCATTAACATACACCAGAACAAATGGAAATCAGTGTTTGCAATCAGTGCTTGAGGGATTATTTTTTCCAAGGAGAAGAATTAATGTTTCAAACCATCTAACAAGCATTCATGCATGTTAAGTACGTCACATTTAAGAATATGCAATTGTGGAAGGGTTTCAATTTTTAATGTGAAATTTTGACTACTGCCATAGAAGTTCATTTAATCATAAAAAACACACAGGTCTCAGTGACAATAAAGGCTTAAAAAAATGTCAGAATATAGCAACACTGCAGTATCTATTATTCTGAGATTTGTCTTAGGCCTGCTTTAAAGACATGCTGTTGCTAGTGGTCCATTTCAGCCTGGGAGCATTGGCCATTATAATTTGAGTGTAAGAATTAATAGGTAGGCACAAAAGAATGCCAAAATATGGACAAATTATGTAATTAAGCAGCACAGATATGTTGTGTCACTGACTGCACATTACTCTGAGCAAAAATACACAGGAAATCTCTTCGCACTATACTATTTTTTTTGAGAGAATGTGTTGCACAATTAAGGTTATAATGTTAAAGGAACAGTGAATAGTAATCCTGAGAAATAGTTCCTGACACCACAGCAGCAGCATCACTGAATACATTCATAGATTAGTATCTTGTAATCACTTCTGCTATTTGTAACATTTATTGTTTTATTGTGTTATGGGATTTGGTCAAGATTACTGTTCACAGTTGTTCTCCGAAAGATAATTAACAGTTTTTAAAAATTATTTACTGCCACTTATAAAATCATGACATGTTGGTGCTTATTTTTAAAAATAACAATGTGAATTTTCCGATACTAATTTAAGGCTTGATGGAAACCATCTCAATCATCTGAAGGCCCTGTGAATAAAATATTTTTACTTGGATGCTTTAATTGTGATATAAATATGTAAGTGAAGTTTTACGTAGTTGTCATGCTTGTAACATTTTTGGTGATGACAGGGAAAGTTGACATATCTGGAGAAACAAAATGTGATCTGTCCTATTTACCTTGCTGGGTCTGACAATTTATGTAATATTGGTAAGCTGATCTCCATGAAAGAACAACTGAAACAAAAGCAAAATGACGACTATGAGGAACACAATTTCCTGCCTAAATAAATCAATTTCAGTTTTCCGTTCACTGTGAGATGTAGCTGATTCCTTCCTGGAATTGTTAACTAAATTAACCTTCAGTCTACTCTGGCATAACAATGTTTATTTGACTATAAAACAGGTTGCCAATACAAGACCGAGTTCTACCATTGAACCAATGCAGGGGAGTACAAAAAATACATTTTGGAAAAGTGGCAAAAATCTATTAAATGGGAGCAGTATTTAGAATTGTCCACTCTTGCAATGGTTTTACAGCTTGAACTGCAGCCAAGGAATGGTTGTTTTTATGTCAATCCTTGTTTTAGGATAACTACCGCAAGCTTGTACTGCCTGCTGTTAAACATCTGTTGATGTATTGACAAATAATAATCAAGATATCTATTAATATTCTTCTCTGTGAAAATATTTAGTAATGTGTCCTATTCTTCTGTATGTGAAAAATCTGCAATTTTCAGAACAATTAAAGTTCAGTCAGCCATTTACTACAACACAACCAGAGGGAAGTTTTAAGATGAGAGCAAATTGCTCTTTGCACACTGGTCTCACCATATTATCATCGAACACACAAGGTTAAAAAGTCCATGGAAACACAGTAAAAATGATTATTGACTATAAAAATGACATCAGGAGCAGATTCATGAGAAGCATAAATACTGATAAGGCTAAAATAGCTGGTTTCTGTGCTGTAAATTTTGTATACTGCTGTTAAGATGAAATGATGATGTCTAGTATTTCTTTTTAATTTTGTGAATAAAAATGCAATAAGTTACTTTAAGTTTGAATACCCTGCACGTGGCTTGTCTGTTGGACAACATTGTTCAAAAAGTTAAATGTAAATAATCTAACTATCTAAAAATGTCTGTGGCACAGTGAAAGTGATGTTGTTGCTTTCTTGTGTATTCAGTTCTTTACTTTTTCCACCTCAAAGCCTGTTGCTTCTACACTACAGTTACATTATAGTGATTAGTTTTCAGTTCTATAGTTCCACAACCAGAAATCACATCTAAAGCATTTTAAGTTAATTAAAATCCCACGCAACTATTCAAAATACTTCTTCAGAAATAAGTATTTAATTCAATACTACATTTATATATTATGATCCTAGACCAGACACAAACTTTATGCTATGATCTTGGATGAGATCACCAAATTATGTTGTGAGCTGGTTATGGATTTATAACCTTTATTTTTGAGATTAGACCAGTGTATTATTGAATGAATAAAACCACAAGATTCAAGATGATCAAACAACAACTTAGAACATTAATAAAATGAACAATATACGTACAACTTATTTTTATACCCAGAGTCATTTGTGCTGAACATGGATCATATACTTCGATTAAACACTCAACAATGCTTATCAAATAGCAAATGCAACCCCTAAACGCATCCCATGGATTTCTTGGTGACTACTTCCCTAGTGTTAATGACACCATCCGTCATTAAATCTCATCAAATGCCGCAAACAATTTCAATTCTTCATTTTTCTGTTCTTGGCTTGAACTACTTATATTTCATATTAAATTGAAATACCTCTTTAGTGAGAACAACATGTCATACATTTGTAAGGTGTTTAATTGTGTCAAACCACCCAGAGACAAGAGCCTGTCTGGCCGGGCAGCACAGTGGCTCAGTGGTTAGCACTGCTATCTCACAGCGCCAGGGACCTGGATTCAATTCCACCCTTGGATGACTGTCTGTGTGGAGTTTGCACATTATCCCCATGTCTGTACGGGTTTCCTCCCACAGTCCAAAGATGTGCAGGCTCGGTGGATTGGCCATGTTAAATTGTCCATAGTGTTTAGGAATGTGTAGATTAGGTGGGTTATGGGGGATGGGTCTGAGAGTCAGTGTGGACTTGTTGGGCCAAAGGGCCTGCTTCAACACTGTAGGGATTCTATGAATAAAAGGCAAAGCTAAGTTGCAAATATTTCAACACAATGCAACTTTCAGCAGGAATTCTCACCGTATGCCCACCTTACCATAGCAAATTCCAACATACACCGCACATAACAAAAGAAAGCCACATCATGCCAATAGAAAATTCCACAATACGCAACGCCCTTTTGGGAGCAAACTCCACCAGGTACCGTACATTACTGTTAAACCTGCAGCTTTCAATTCCAACACAAACCACAGATTTAAATTTTCTATTCCATTGCACACCATATCATCGAGCAGCAAACAGTGCCATATACATCTCATTTTTCAGCGTATCATTTTTACTTTTTTAACAGAAAATAAAAGAGAGAAGAAGCACATTGTTTTACCATTTATTGTTGATGCCTGACTTAGTTCCCTGACAAAGCTGCCTGCTAACCCTATCCCCCATAATTTATATATATTTATTTTATCAATTTATCTGTTGCATCATGGATTCTGCTCCCTAACACTGTGTCTGGTACAGCATTCCATGTTCTCACAACCAGAATTAGAGGCAACAGTGACAGTGATTTCACTATGCATCATGGAATTCTGTTAGCCATTTATAACATTAACTCTACAGATTTAATTTTCTTCTTAAAATCATACAGATTACAGCACAGAAAGAAGCCATTCAGTCCAACAGATCTTTGCAAAGAGTTAGCTCTTCAAATGGAGCTGTCAACCCAAATCCCAATTATTGTCTTTTTCTCATAACCTATCATAATTATTTTCAAACTTTGCAGTTTCTGAATTAATTAATAATTTATTTGGTACAAGATATACCTCGTGATTTTAGATTATGAAACTGAACCTACTTTGACTTCTTTCTCAAGATAATCGTGCAGCAGGATCTCAGGGTCTATCAGGTAATCCGGAGGGAAGAGTGGGATGGAATGGAGAGGTCTCCTGTATACACTGCTTCTGTCCTGCTGTCTCCTGTTCTTGTCAGCTTTAGGAAATACCAGCCTCTTAATTGGAGACACAAATCCCTGAAAATCACATGGAAAATCATAAACATAACTTTTGAAGTGATTATTTTCATACAATTTGTTGAGCATCTCTCCAGACACTCCCTGAAATGTGATTATTAATATTTCAGAAATGAAACCAGCACAAAATTACAATCAAGGAACCCTGAAATAATGGAACATTGCAGATAAATGTAGGTAATTTGGCAGTTTTTCAGTACAGGAGCTGTTGCTCCATTCTCACTTGCTTCTACATCCATATCTGCTTCCTTTTCTCTTTCAGTATAGAATCCTTCAGTATTCTTGTTTTTTTGGATGATTATCTGATTATCTTTTTAAAGAATTCGCAGATTCTGTTTGAACAATTTGTGACAAAACAATTTCATATGCTAATCTCTCTTTAATAAACTGTATTTAAAAATGTCATTTTTTTGTAATATTATAATACATGAACTATAGCAATGGAACAAATTCACGTGAATAAATCTACAACACAGACAGTAGAAAAAAATCTCATCAATTTTATAAAATGTAAATTTTAATGTTCACCACTTGGAAAGGTAGCACAACAACTATTGTTACCTTCTGTATTTGATCTATGTCAACTGCTTTTGCTGTGCAGCTTTCATAAGAAAACCAAGCTTTCTTTATAACTTTTTCAAAATCTACAGATGGAAAGATGGTCAATAAGCATTAGCCTAAGGCACATAAACAATCTAAGGGTATGACAGGGGAAATAACATTTTGACAGCATCTTATTAGATCTATCAGAACATTCAGAAATGCTTCACTTGTAATGAATTACACTAGAAGTATATTTAGTTGAAAGGTTATTTTGCACATAGGAAGAACTAATGAGTTGCCTGAAGAATGTTGAATTGATTAAGAGCATGTTAGCCAGAAGGCGTAAAGAACTTCTCACCATGTTTCAATGCTGTCAGAGTTCTGAGCATTCTCATAAGCAGGTCGTAGGGTCTCGATTTCTTATCACTGGATGGCATCTGCAAAAGTGCAGCTCTTTCTCAATAATGGGTCAAATGTTAGCCCAGATCAGTGCTTCCCCAAACATTTTACTGGTGTGAACCCATTTTAATGTATCCTTGACACTGGGGATTGGACAGGGGGGATTAGCTTCAGCTGCTGACTTGTGTTTGAGGTGGTAGGGGAGAAGTACCCATATTTTCTTTTTTCACAGGTTTTAGTGTAGTAGTAATTAAAACACAAAATCTGTCCATTAGGGCATGCGGCACAATAAAATATGGGGGGATTTAGAAGAGCATGCATCTGTGCTCCATATCCACTGATCACCCTAACTCACAACCCTGTGCACTCCTCACCCCCTCCCACAACCCTGTGCACTTCTCACCCCCTCCCACAAACTGGGGACTCCTAACTCCCTACCACACTTTCCAGGCATTCTCATGCCAGCAAAGAATGTGTCACGTACTATTAGGTGTTCCAGCCTCACTGTGCGTACTTGCGGAGAGACTGGAAGAGTTTGTCTTAAGAATGTGGGTTGTGTGTGATGATGTCTTTGTCCCTGGAATGAATGACCAATTGCATCAAGCACCAAATGCACTGTTTGAAAAAGGGCATGCAGGCCTTCATTAATGGCTTGGCCATTTTGTAAGCCCCCTTGGAATGCCCAAGTCTTGGCTATTCATCTCAACATTGATCTGTAGTGATGTACTGTCCAAATGATTGCTATTAGGGAAGCACAGGTAGTTCATTAGATGGATGTTGACTCAAACTGTTTACCTTTCTGATAGTTCTCCCTCCTAGTCAGTGGATGATGGGCTGTTCCCTGACCTGTTGGCTGAGTCTGCTCCTACCCAACAACCTTTGTCAGGGGTCTCACAGGCTCCAACACCTAGAGGATGTTGACCAAGAATATGTCACAGTAGGGATGTGAGCAACCTGCCTCTACCTCTGATGAAGTGTAGAACCATCCTACACCAGATAAGGGTGCCAGAAAGAAGGATTAAAGAGCAAAGCTTTGCTTATAGTCACACAATGCTAGTTTGACATGTTTCATTTCTATTTTTGAGTTACTTATTATTTCTTACCACCACCTTACCCATTTTTTGTTGCTCCCATGAAAGAGTCTTTTTCATTGTGATGATTGGTATGATACTGACACTATGCAACGTAGGGTTGGAGGTGGGTGGGGTGGGGTGTGTAAGGGATGCTTGGTTGTTTACTGGACTGCATTATTTTGGGGAAAAGTGGCTTGTAGTCTTGGACTGGTGCAGTTGACATGAACCTGATGATAGTAAAAGCATCTAGGTGAGTGATGTGAGCTGCTACTAGCGCGCTGAAGACATTATGTTCTACTACCTCCTCCTTCAAATCCTTTCTATGCTCTGTGCTTTGTTTTTCTTGCAGGTCTACCTGTTGCTGTACTGCAATGTTGAATAGGGTTCATTGTGTGACAACCATTCTGGAGACCCTGGCTGGTTTATCTTAACAGAAGCCTCCAGAACTGTCCAGACACCTAAAGTACATCTTCAACATGCAGATGCCTTGTTGAATGACTCATCTACTTGTCATGTGGTGTTCTTGTATCTCTCTGGCCACGTTCAACAAAGGTATCAGCAGCCATGTTTTAAATGGGTATGGCTGGATAGAAAAGGATTAGAGACGGTACACCACTAAAGGATAAAAATGCACGCACATGTCAGCAGAAACTTATTTTTATGGTTGATGGCATGGAAACCCTTGCATTTGATGAATGCTCCTGGGCAAGTTTGTGGAGGCTTAACTATCATCAATAACACCCATCAAAAGTGCAAAGTCAGCTCCTGTTGTCAATTCAGATACCTGCTCATTCTAAATAAAATCTGAAAGAACTGTGGATGCCGTAAATCAGGAACAAAAACAGAGGTTACTGGAAAAGCTCAGCAGATGTGGCAGCATCTGTGAAGAAAAAATCAGAGTTAACGTTTTGAATCCGGTGACCCTTCCTCAGAACTGATGGTATCTGGGAAAATGTCAGTTTATATGCAGAAAATGTCCACCTTCTTCCTCAACTGAGGATTCCCCAGCACCGTTGTTAACAGGGCATTCAACTGGATCTGACCCATCTCCTGCACTTCCACCCTCATCCTCTCTCTTCCCTCCCACAACAGCGATAGGGTTCCCCTTGTCCTTACCTACCACCCCACCAGCATCCACATCCAGAGGATCATCAAAAGCAACACTTCACCTGCACTTCCCAGAATCTAGTCTACTGCATTCACTGCTCACAATGTGGTCTCCTCTACATTGGGGGAACAAAGCATTGACTGGGTGACCACTTCGCAGAACATCTATGTTCTGCCTGTAAAGAAGACCCTGACCTTCCAGTTCCCTGTCACTTTAACACACCACCCTGTTCCGTGGCCAGCATTTCTGTCTCAGGTTTGCTGCAGTGTTCCAGTGAAGCTCAATGCAAGCTGGCAGAACAACACCTCATTTTCTGCTTGGGGACTCTGCAGCCCTCCGGACTCAATGTCCAGTTCAATAACTCTCCCATGTCCTAGACCCATACCCCACACACCAGGTCTTGTTATCACATAGCCCGCCATTACACGCTACCCATTGTTAGTCACTAACAGTTCCCATTAACAGCTAGTCACCCTCCTAGCCAGATCAATATCAAGTCCTTTGTCTGTCCAACTGTTCTTCTCTCTCTTCGGGCTCTATCCTTTATCATGTCATTTACTCCCTACCCCATCCCCCTCCTTATTTTCTGCATAAAAACCTACGATTTCCCAGCTACCATCAGTTCTGAGGAAGGGTCACTGGACCTGAAACATTAACTCTGATTTTTTCTTCACAGATGCATCCTGACCTGCTGAGCTTTTCCAGAAACTTCTGTTTTTGTACCTGCTCATTCTAGGTAGCATCATCATTGTCAAAAATTGACATAATTGGCTGCCTTATCCCTTGGCCACTGCTAGACCCTGCAAAATCTGACAGAAACTTGGAAAGATCCAGAGGCATGAAGTTCAGGACGGTGTTGACTTTGAGACCAACTGGCAAAGCATAGCCATTACGTTCACCTAGCAGCAGGACTTGTTTCCTCAGCCATTTCAAACACTGTGTAATATCTGCCACATCTTATCCAACTCTTTGAGTGTTCTGAGAAACTGGTGTTTCTGTATCTATAGACTCTGTGAGGCCTCCCGCAAGCTACCTGTTATTGCTGATCACCTTGTTCTTGTGGAACTGCAGGACTCTGAGTAGCAGGCTGTTTCTGCTCCTGCTTAGTATACATAGTTTTATTCTTTCATGGGACGTGGATGTTACTGACAAGGCCTGAGCTTGTTGCTCATCCCTAATTGCCACAACTGAGTAGCATGCTAGGCCACTTCAAAGGGCTGTTCAGAGTCAGCAATACTGCTATGTGTCTGGAGCCCCATGTAGTCCTGAATGGGTAAAGAACATTAGAGAATTAGATGGGATTTCACCACAGGCGATAATAGTTTCATGGTTCTTGTGCTGGTGCTGGTCCTGCTGGTATTTTTGTTTTTATCTTTACCTCATCCAAGGTCCAAAGTACACCACATAAGCACTCTTCATACTGATCTGACAGATCAGAGCTGCAAAGTGGAGATCAGACATATCTATCTCCAAAGTTTCAAATTAGCCTCTCTGCACAAGTACAGTAAACAAAGCCTTTCACAAAGCAGGCAAGAAATTAACTCTGAAGTTCTGATATTTACAAACCTCACTGCCATGCCTTCATTTCCTCATTGGTTATTGTATTCAAGTCTTGCTTTCAATGGCAAGTTTCAGGAATCTGGGATGAAGTAGGGACCAACAATTATATTGTAAACACCATATTAATAGTACTGTGATAGCTAAGTTGACAACACATCTCTCTGAGTAAATAGCATATAACATTGCTTGTTGCAGTTCAGTGTGGGCTTTAGCCGATTGAAGCTTGTTTTCCAACGTGTTGTTATTTTCGTGGTTCAAAATTCTATTCAACTAGATTATAAGTGGTCTGCAACTTCAATCCAGTAATTGTTTTGCTT